TGAACTTTCTGACTTGTGTAACTTGTACGTAAGAGTCAGTAAGACAAGAAAACTTCACATAAACTCACGTCACTACAATACTTAAAAAAAAAAAACTCACCAATACTCTATATCAACTTTCACCATAGCTGCGTAGTTCTAGAGCTTTGCTAGCCAAAAGAAGTAAATAACTTATTAAAGGGAGGAGCTCTGGACTCGCGTACTGCTCCGCTGACGCGACAGACTCGTCTGCTAGCGAGAGTGGCGAAGTGTTGCCAACTACTGTGACAACCGATACATGAGTAATCTAAAGATTTTAGATGTATTATGATTTTCTAATAATCTGTGACATTTATGAAAAAGAGATTAACTAGAAATATATTGTACATCTATTGTATTGTATTTAAGCTAAACTGTATAATATATGACAAATAAATGAACCTATACAAATCAAGGTCTATATAACATACTTATTTACTTATTTTCTAGTTACAGATGTGCTAGAGTGAGATCAAAATAGCTAGTTTTGCATTTTTACTTGAATAAAGAAAAATAAACCATTTATCAAACAGGAACTATTAGCCCTACGTAAGACTAGAATAAACCATTTATTGATCTCACGGAAAAAATATCTGCATTAAATTGTCGAAAAGAAACACCAGATTGAACTGGTATTCGAGACAGAATTTAATGGTTAGAACAGATCTGGCATGGCAAATCTGTCAGAACCAGCAGGTTTGTGTGCTAACTTGACAATACTGCTTGGGACGGTCCGAGGTGACGAGTATTGTTTGCCAATCGCGTTTCCTCCCTTTGTTTTACCTGATACTTAATTTTATGTTTGTCTCCTTTCTCCTTTCAATTCAGTATTTGTCTTGTATACTTGTTGGAAGATAGAGATTTAACGTAATTCTAATTGTTTTCGTGGCGACAAGAAGTTTCTGATATTTAATTATATATGTAGGCTACAATGTTATTACCGAGATGTTTCCCATTTCATCAATGTACTTTCTCTAACGACTTTTTTTTCGAGTTTTTGTTGATCTCACCAGATACACACGTAGCAGATATTTCTACCCATTATTTCTTCCTACGCACGTTACCCTTGTACTCCTTGACCTGCATTGTGCTGATACGTCCCTTAGCTTTAGTATAGATAAAAAGGTTGACTTTAATGTAAGCATGAGTCTAGTATATGATAATCATTCCGTGATGAACCTTTCTATTTTAAGATGAATGGACTCTAGAGAACGTCAGATAACTGATTAAGGAGAAAGAAAAAGAACGCTAAAAAGTCATGATCAACATTTGTAAATCTTCATGTATTATGCTTGTTAGATTAGACTACCTGCACTTTTACGCTTCTGTGATATATGAAATGTTTTAAGGTTGCAAATACTGTCCAATGACACCCAGGCAAGCACACACACAAAACGAACACCTGCATATAGTGTTAAAACCATAACACAATGTGGAGAATCGCAGTTTTTCGCGTCAATATTTCGCGTGTCCACCTGGTATTAAACACTGACCACTATTGCAGATTAGGTGCAATATATTGCAAAAATTGGTCCCTTGAAGTTTAGAATAAATTAGTCAACATCTGTATTGGTATGAAAGGCTTTGCTTTGTATTTATATTCACTACCCGAATTTATTCTTTACGGAAGAAGGCTTCTCCAAACCACGGAACTCTGGTCTCGCATGTGGGAATTTATACCAATCCCATTTTTCCCGATCCGACCCCCATACACACACACACACACACACACACACACATACACACACACACACACACACACACACACACGCACACGCACACGCACACACACACACACACACACACACACACACACACACACACACACACACACACACACACACACCACACACACACACACACACACACACACACACACACACACACACACACACACACACACACACACACACACACACACACATATAAACAGAGGTGTTTAAGCATACTTCTTACTTTACCTCAGAGAAAGGTCTACAAATGCACAAAGCAGGTTAACATAAACGGAAATGACAAGATGTTGCGATACGAGTAACACATCCTTTCTGAAGACAAAATACCTTGTCCAGAGCTCCCACATATCCTCAATGTGTTCTTATCTTTTCGTTTAATTTTTCAACCCCTCATGATAAAACTAAGGCGTACCGCTTTAATTTTATCATGAGGGGTTGAAAAATCACGAGCCAACTGAAGTGATAACTGAAGCAAACCTATTTCTGATAAGTTCTGGTTTCACAAACTTTCGCCTTGTTCTTCCCCGTCTCTCTGTCTTCACTTTAATATTCATGTAAATTTTCTCATAATTTCAGTTTCGTCGCCCTACTTTGTGTTAAGAACTTGTGAGCCACATTTTCTCCCATCACTGCATACTATTTTTCCTCACTCCTCTCCTCTCTCTCATTCTCTCTTTCTCTCACTCACTCTCTATCTGTCTCTGTCTCTCTCACTCTCTGTCTGTCTGTCTGTCTGTCTGTCTCTCTCTCTCTCTCTCTCTCTCTCTCTCTCTCTCTCTCTCTCTCTCTCTCTTCTCTCTCTCTCTCTCTCACTCTCACTCACTCACTCACTCACTCTCTCTCTCTCTCTCTCTCTCTCTCTCTCTCTCTCTCTCTCTCTCTCTCTCTCACCCCACACACACATACATACACACACATGCACGATTATCTTTTACAATCACCACGCACCAATTTATTCCTGCAAAGGATGGTACAATTCATCATGATTCGGGAACTTTAGAGGGAACTTCTAGAGGGTTCCACGGCTTGTATGACCTTCCTGCAAGTGCACGGAGAAAGAACCTGCTCACCGGAGGCAAGTCTCACAATCACTGTTTGCTTGTCCGGATGGAAGGTCTTGCGCTCCTTTTGCTTTCCATTTGTTATTAAACCGCGTTACCTAAAAGCATGCTCTTATATACAAGCACAAAGAACGATGCACTGTTATGTGTTTATAAACACAAGTACACCCCCTTCTCCACTTCCCACATACACCTGTATATATATATATATATATATATATATATATATATATATATATATATATATATTATGTGTGTGTGTGTGTGTGTGTGTGTGTGTGTGTGTGTGTGTGTGTGTGTGTTGTGTGTGTGTACACACACACACACACACACATATACTGTATAAATATTTTGTATGTATATGTATGTATACACACACGCACACATATGTGTGTGTGCGTGTATGGATATATACCTTATCTTTCAGCCTTCTAAAATCCGTTGTTAGACATAGGCTTTCCCAATCTGCCCCACCTCGTTTAGGTTATGTTTGCATCAAAGGGAGGAAATGGGCCCTACCCAACCACGCTGGCCCAGTGAGAGTGTGTATGTATGTGTGTGTGTGTGTGTGTGTGTGTGTGTGTGTGTGTGTGTGTGTGTGTGTGTGTGTGTGTGTGTGTTGTGTGTGTGTGTGTGTGTGTGTGTGTGTGTGTGTGTGTGTGTATGCAGTTCTTGCTACAAAGATCGATATGAATTCATGTCTGCGAATGACTTCAGTGTTCAGTGACATTTGCGAAGGACTTTTCTGCAACCTTGATCGAGCCTTGGATAGAATTCTGATTGGAACAAGTTATAACATCTGTTTTATTCTATGTATTATTATGTAATTTTTCAGCATGCTCCATCGACCATAAAGGGATCAGGAATTGCACACTGTAACCAAAGATGTATATGCTGAGTGGCATGTAACATCAGCAAGGGAGTCAGTTGAGAAATAAGCATAAAAGTAAGTTGCAACTTTTGAGATTGAAATGCGTCAGCTGTTTCAGGCGATGCACGCCATTCTCCTCCGAAGGGTTACCACTAATATTCAATCTATTTTGTTACCGTAGAATGATATTTTATATTGTTTCCCAAGTTTTCCATGCGGGAATAATATTGTCTGTATTTATTTACTTGAACCTTTGCTGTTAATCAGGGTAATAAAAACAAGCTAAAACTATAGGAATTTAAAGTAAGTTTAATGCCAGCCACGTGAACGCCTACATTTCCATGCTCTGCCAGATTTCGTATAGTGTAGTTAGACTTCCATTGAGGACGGTTTTAACCTTATCAAGGAGGGCGAGGAAGCATTCATCACGGAACTTTTAGCCTATAGTAGCAGCCAACCGGATGTGTTGGACGAATGGTATCTGAGTGGTGTCCTCTCTTTAACACAAATGGCTTTTCCAACTCTTGTCCACATCATGTAATTCATTGCCAGCAAAGAAACTCCCACGCCCTTGGCAAGAAGTAAAAACGATCGTATTTAGAAAGGAATATCTAACTATTGTAAATAAAATTCCATGCTACTCCCCAAGCAGCAGACAAAATAACCGCCACATAGCTTCAACAAGGGCGGCCGGTTTGCTAAAATTGTGCGATGCCCGACCCAGTGAATTTTCATATAGACTTGGACATACACAAAGATCAATACATATCTATCAGTCTAGAATATCTTCCAGATAGATAGATAAATGTATATCTCTCAGATAGATAAACAGATATGCACTAATTTCTGTGTATATATGCATGTCCGTATATATAAAAACTAACTGGGTGTGGCCTCGCACAATTTAACAAACTGGGAGTCTCCAAAGATATTGATATCGACCCTGGGTAGATAAGACTATCTAGGCGGTTGATAAACGCCTGGGGGATAAATAAAGGGATTTATAAAAGCCGGGCAATTTGTAGTGTTGGGGTCCAGAGCTGAAATTCGTATAAGAAATAAAAATGCAGAAAATATAACCTATAGCTACCCTTGTGTAATTTATTTACAATTTGTTTTTATTGTCTATTTATGTTATATTCTACCTCGTGAAACGTAATGATAAAAAACATAATTGCAATCGTTTATCATTATTTGAATGATGAAAATGTAATTGCAATAGTTTATCATTATTTGAATTCACTGGATGCATTAACTTGAATTTTATTAGTTGATAAACGTAACTTTATTGTTCATCACAAACACTGCAGTCTTGTA